TATTGTATACATTTGAAACCTTTAATGGGATGGTACTCATGTTTTATGAGGGTTGGAATGAAATCATAGAATAGAGTCTGGTTCACGTGATTACTCCTTTGCTGCAGAACAAATCAACCAGATGCTGGTCACCTGGAGAAACAGACAACCTGTTCATGTCAATCAGACAGAAGCTCTCTGCAAAGCATTGAAGGAGGTTGGAAATTCACAACTTGCTGCCAACTTGACAGGTAAGTTATAGAGTAACAGTTATGTTATTTTTATGAAACCTTTAATGGGATGGGACCAGGTGGTTTTGGGGGGTCAGATTGAAATTGTAGAATAGAATCTGGTTCTTTAAATGTCACATTTTCGACTGAATCACTGTGCTGGGGAATCTGACTGAAATTGGGTCCTCTTGCGAATACGGTCTGTAGAAGAATTTTCCATTGTAATATACCCACAATAGTTAGGCCAGCCCAATAGTTGGAGCTGTCCCAACTATAGTGGGGACGTATACAGTTATAGTACTATAGTACTGTTTGGCAATAACAAAATCACTATGACCAACACGCACAATTAAAATACATGCAGCGTATATGTATGTATGTTTTGTGACCTCTGTAATTGGAGCCTGATTGAATAGGAAATGTTGGAAATGGTTTGGATGAGGGATACGTGTGATGTATGGATTGGACAAACTTGGTTGTTATATTACTGATTTGTGTAGTTATCTTAAACATCTACTTACATGTATGTATGTAAGCAAGTATTGCTGTGAAATGAAAATTGCTTACAGTGTGTGGGATAAACTAACCCATATGAGCCTGTGGTTTAACCACCAAGTTTTTCTGAGCCAGGTTTACATATCCTGTATTCATACCATTTCTAATGGTCCCGAATATTTAGAAGATGTCACCTTAGTTCTGACAAAAGAAGTTGGATGAAGTTCATCATTTCAAAATGAGTGCACATTCTCACCCTTAACCCCTTCACGCCGGGATGCGTTAAGACACGCCGTAAAAATTGAGATCCTCAGCCCGCTTTTCAGCTATTATTCTCGGCCCACGCTCCAGCGAACACGGTGAAAGAAGGCAGACCTGGCTCTTGTGTA